CTAGTGAAACTCAGGTATATCCCGTCATTCGGGTAATTAAGGGAGCGAGCCTGCTGCGAAGTGCCAGAAGGAGGGCGTAGCCAGAGGGCGGGGGGAAGGCCCCGCCAGGGGGATAAAAGGGCAGCGTGGATACGGTAAAGGGTCGTCATTGTGGGTAACACTCGGTGGGTCGGGTCACGTCGTCGGATTGGGATCTTCAATAGCCTCGTGTGTAAAGGGGTTACATAGTGTTACAAAGTGTTACATAGGGGTAGTTACGCTTACACCAATTATAGAACCCGTCCCATAAGGGAAGTGTTAATAAAAGACTCGCCTCAACTCACGTAATGTGTATGTCTTTATTGAAGCAGTGGCAAAGTTCTTCTCCACTCTCGATTTACTGTCAGGGTTCTGGCAGTTGCCTCTCGACGACAGCTCCAAACCTAAGACCGCGTTCCGCACACCACAAGGCCTTTTCGAATTTAACCAGCTCCCGATGGGATTAAACTTGGCCCCGGCAACCTTCCAAAGATTGATGGAATTGGTGTTGGCGGGACTACAATGGGACGCGTGCTTGATCCACCTTGACGACGTCATTGTATTCAGCCATACGTTCAAGGAACACCTAGGAAGGTTGCGCACGGTTTTTCTCAAAATGCGGGCCGCAAAATTAGAATTTAAACCGCAGAAATACCACCTATTGCAAAGGTCTGTCCGGTACCTTGGCCACATTGTCAGCGAATCGGGGATATCGACGGACCCCGCCAAAACTGCGTGCGTACGCACATGGCCAACCCCCACGTCAGTGGGTGAGGTGCGCAGTTTTGTTGGATTCGCGTCGTACTCCAGACGTTTTGTCCCCGGATTCACTACAATCGCTAAGCTGCTGCATGTCCTCACGTCCAAGGGACAGAAATTTTGGTGAGGGGAGGAGGAGGAGGCTGCGTTTGCCATGCTGCGCGACAGCCTGGCCAACACGCCGCCCCTTCAGTACCCCGATTTTTCTCTCTCTTTCATTCTGGACACAGACGCCAGTAACACCGGCATAGGCACTTTATTACTGCAGGTGGTGGACAGCGTCGAGCGGGTGGTTGCTTACGGCAGTAGAATGCTGTCCCCGGCGGAACAGCGTTACTGTGTTACATACCGAGAATTGCTGGCTATAGTATTTTTTATCCAGCAGTACCCTCTGTACTTTTATGGATGCAAATTCACTGTCTACAAAACACATTCCTGCGGAGGGAGCTGGTAGGAACGTTGGGTTGCTCGGACAATGGCCAGGGTCAACGGCGGCACCACGTGGTGTATTCCGCACAATATGCCCGACTGTGAGGGTGGGCACAAGCCGGCGTGAAGAGTGGGGACCGAGTGGGGACCTGGGATGGTGGAGAGAAAAAAAAAGCTGTTCCTCAAAAAAAAGAGTACAATATCCACGAATTGGTGGCTTATAATGTAGAGATTGAGAGCAGCCGCATACTCCAAAAGCATGTTGTTGATTCTCCACGTGGAGGGAAAAATGTCGTGAAGATGGCCGGACGTCGTTGGTGGCCGGACGTCGTTGGTGGCCACCCACCCCCACGTGTGTGCCGTGGCTGCCTTCCCCACCCAGCCCCTCCTTCCCTGCCCAGCCCCTCCTTCCCTACCCAGCCCCTCCCCACTGTCCCCTCTCCACCCCCACCACTCCCATTTTTGGATGCACGATGGACGGACACAATAATCCCCTGTGGGCTGGTGGAACCAGGAGGTTCCTACCAGTACTAAGTTGCACCTGTGGTGATTGTTACATTGGGGAAACGAAACGAAATGTCTCGGACCTTGTTCGTGAGCACAAGTCAGATCTGAAACACGGCAGAACTAATAAAATAGCCGTGGCTGACCATTGTTATAATGCTGTGGGCTCCCATGATATTGTTTTTTTCCGAGACCAAGGTGCTCAGTTCAGTTTCAGTTGATTTATTTTGGTATAGCCCTGTGAGCCATTCGGCTCTTGAATTGGGTGCAACCACAACAAACAGAATACACGAACAATAAATACATCTTAAAGTGACTATGTGACTGTGCAAACAGAAAATCCATGAAAAAAAAACAGAAAAATATTCTTGAAAAAAGCACCGTACACCAACGCTGTGTGCAAAAAAATCCCAGTGGGATAGTTCATAGTTCATAGTTTCATTTATTTGGTATAGCCCTGTGAGCCATTCGGCTCTTGAATCGGGTGCAACTGCAACAAACAAAAAAACTAAAACATGAACAAGAAAACATCTTAAAGTGACTTTGTACATGTACAAACAGAAAATCCAGGAAAAAACATCAAAATATTTCTGAAATAGCACCGTAAACCAACGCTGTGTGCAAAAATCCCAGTGGGATGCAGGTCAAACAACAAGAAAACTTAGATTAAGGCCATCAGTCTAACTCCGTACTACAATAAACAAAAACATGGTCAAACCAAAAAACTTTTAGAAATCACCAAAATAAAGCCATAAATGCAATGTAACAGTGATCATAGGAACTGTGACCGAATTTTTTACAATAAACTACATAAATAACATGTAACACCAAACCCTAGAGCCACAGCTGGCTGCATGAGTCACTCCACAAACAACAGGAGCATCAGTCGGAGTATCACATTTTTCAATGCACCTTTAACATCAGCACACTAAATCAAAATACAGATAATACTTTGCAGCGGTCATTCGGAGCGAAACATTTTATTTTATTTTAGGCCACTGAATAGCAGTGGCAGCTAGGGGTGTACAACTCCTGCAGTTGATTGGCAATAGCATTCCAGACCCTGGGGGCATCAATAGCAAAGGCCCTTCCTCCGGTTTTTGGCAATAGGGAATGTGAAGCTGGTAGATGAGTGAAGACCTGAGGTCAAATTTGTTCTTTGAAACAGAGAGGAGATCCAGCAGGTAGTCTGCGGATTTTTTTGTAAGTACATCGTGAATAAATAAGATCTGGTGTACAAGCCGTCGAACATGAAGAGATGTTAAGTTTGATCCAACGTAGAGATCACAGTGGTGAGTCCTATATGGGCAGTTCAATGCCAATCTTAAGGCCGAGTGATAGATGGAATCAAGCTTCTTCAGTACAGTACTTGGGGCTGATTTATACACGATATCACAGTAATCAAGTAGAGGCAGTATGGTAGCTTTTATCAATTCCAAACGGAACATAGGGGGGAAGCAGTGCTTGTGTCGGTACAGAAAACCAATTTTTATTTTTGTCTTTTTAGCAATATAATCAATGTGATCTTCAAAATTCAATTTTGAATCCAGGATGACTCCAAGATACTTATAGAACTTGACTTGCTCTATTTGATCATTATTTAAGGAATGTAATTTGGGAAAAATAACTTCCTGCTTTAGTCCCGGTGAGAAGCATAGCACCTTGGTTTTGGAGGTATTTAGGACTAGTTTAAGAGCAACTAGCTGATGTTGTAGTATGTTGAAATCACCCTGGAGCTTAGCAATCACGTCATCCGGAGAGCGGCCAGCAGTAATCAGTATCGTGTCATCTGCAAAAAGATTTACCCTGGAATGATCCAGGTCAGTGCCCAAGTCATTGACATAAAGAGAGAACAAGAGGGGGCCGAGGATGGAACCCTGTGGAACCTCTTTTGTTATCTTAACACTGTTTGCAAGTCAAACAACAACAACCACAAGAAAACTTAGATTAAGGCCATCAGTCTAACTCCGTACTACAACAAAACAAACATGTCCAAACCAAAAAACTTTTTGAAATCACCAAAAAAATAAAGCCATAATTGCAACGTAACAGTGATCACAGGGACTGTGAACCTTCCGGCTACTATCAAAGGTTTGTTCATGAAGCTATCCAGATATATACACATAGACATAACTTCAACCGAGAAGATGGATACAAATTGAGCAATCATTGGAAGGATGTTATTAACCGGGTAAAACCTTAAATGCTTTACGGTGTTGCCTTCATATCCGCATCTCCAGTTTCTCTTCAACCTCCCACTCCCAGCCCCGCCCACTCCCCCCCCTCCCCCCGACATTGTGTCGTTGCTCGCCCTTTAACCCCTTCTAGCTGCGCTTCACTCGGCAGCGTTTCCCCCTCCCCTCTCTCTCTCCCCCCCCCCCCTCTTATCTATTTAGCCTCTTGTTATAGCAGCCCTTTTGCCCACTTTAGCAATTGTTTCTTGATGTGGTTGTCCCACCTGATGACGGACGCTCGTGTTGCGCTCGAAACGTCACGTGATTTAATTTATTTTGTTTTATTTTATACCTACGTGACTTTACCGAAATAACAAAAGAGTTTGAGTACCGTGGATTCACGCGTCATGCAGCCCGGCCGGCCCCTGTGCCCGCCCCGCCCCGCCCTCCCCTGTGCCCGCCCCGCCCTCCCCTGTGCCCGCCCCGCCCTCCCCTGTGCCCGCCCCGCCCTCCCCTGTGCCCGCCCCGCCCTCCCCTGTGCCCGCCCCGCCCTCCCCTGTGCCCGCCCCGCCCTCCCCACTGCCCGCCCCGCCCTCCCCTGTGCCCGCCCTCCCCAATGCCCACCCCGCCCTCCCCTGTGCCCGCCCCGCCCTCCCTCCCCTGTGCCCGCCCCGCCCTCCCCTGTGCCCGCCCCGCCCTCCCCTGTGCCCGCCCCGCCCTCCCCTGTGCCCGCCCCTCCCTCCCCTGTGCCCGCCCCCCCTGTGCCCGCCCCCCCCTGTGCCCGCCCCCCCTGTGCCCGCCCCCCCTGTGCCCGCCCCCCCCCTGTGCCCGCCCCCCCCTGTGCCCGCCCCCCCCTGTGCCCGCCCCCCCCTGTGCCCGCCCCCCCCTGTGCCCGCCCCCCCCTGTGCCCGCCCCCCCCTGTGCCCGCCCCCCCCTGTGCCCGCCCCCCCCCTGTGCCCGCCCCCCCCTGTGCCCGCCCCCCCCTGTGCCCGCCCCCCCCCTGTGCCCGCCCCCCCCCTGTGCCCGCCCCCCCCTGTGCCCGCCCCCCCCTGTGCCCGCCCCCCCTGTGCCCGCCCCCCTGTGCCCGCCCTCCCCTGTGCTCGCCCCGCCCCCACTGAACTCACCCTCACCAAGATGGCCGCCCTTTTACTCCGTTCTCTCCCCTCCCCACCGGCCCACGGCATCATCAGCCACGGCCAAAGCGCGGATCTCGCCTCCTCCTCCTGCCGTGGTTGTGGTGAGAGAGAGATTATTATTATACGGTGAGTGGAAGAGAGAGAGATTGTTACATTATTATACGGTGTGGGAACGAGAGAAAGAGAGAGTGGGTTCGTGGTCGCGCTGTTTTGAGCGCCGCTCGTTAAAAGTTCCCAACTGAATTCCGTAATTCCCTCGCCCGCCAGTCGTTTCGTCCGTCCGTGCGTCCGTGCGGTGCGGTGCTGAGCGAGCCGAAGCCGGAGCCGGGGCGGTCGGTGAGGACGACGTCTCGGGGCCAGGCGAGCCGGGGCCGGGAGAGAGGGGCGGGCGGGCGGGCTAGGTGAGACCGACGTTTCGGGGCCTGGTCGCTTCAGCCGCCTCAGCCGCGGTCGCCCAACTCGCGGGACGAATCTCGCGCGTGCGTCGTGGCCCTTGAGACTCGCCAAGGCCACCCTCACGTATTTTCACACGCGTCGCCAGTAATAATAATTGTTATGATGATACAGTACAGAGAACGTAGGCTCTCTATCCACACACACACACAACCGGACAGCACTACCACGCAACCACAACGCCCACACCGGCCGCCACAAACATCCTACAGTCGCCACACTCCGGCCTAACGCCACCACGAATCAAATCTCACGCCACTCGCACGGATTTCAGACGCGTCGACAGCGACAATACGACAGTGAACAAAGCTATCCCCCCCCCTCCACCGACATCAAAACTACCACAACACGCACGCACTTAACTCACGCCGCCACTAGCAAATCTGCATCCACTCCCATGCCACTACTCGCATCCGGCAACTAACACTTGCTGTTCAAGATCCGTAGCTCTGTGAGGTTGCACATGCTGGCATCATACTCTGTAACTACCACCCCCCCCAAAGTCATTCGTGCTGTTGACTCCATGACCCTGTTCAAGTCCAAGATCAAGAGCAGTGTTCACTAATTTTAAGTGGTGGGGGGGCACTCTCTCTCTCTCTCCTACAAGACTTCAGTGCGTGTGAGCCACCACACCGCCTTGCAAGGGGTTGTTTTAACATTTTGTGTATTGTCGGAGGCCGCACTAAAGGCCGCCAACGAGGAACACTGATCAACACCATACATTTTTCCCTCTTACCGTCTTCTTTACATAAAGTAAACATGCCCACTCTTTCTCTATAGCGTCTTGAGATGTGTAGAGTAAATGTAAATTCACATTGTGTTGTACTTTATGTAGGTGTGGTTTCCATGCACATTTTTTTTTATGATCCCGCATTGGCAGAGATGCACGTTTTATGGGTTGTATGGATCCCTATGACTGACTGCCTTGTTCTCACGACAATATAAATATTCCAACTGTTTTTGGGCAATGCCTTTGAATACGTTAAAATTGTAATTTCATCTGAGTGGAACTCTATATAAATGACTGAGGCCCTATATAATAGAATGTATCCATGACTGTCGACAAGCAATCCCAACATTTCTAACAGTGTATTCAGATGGGGTCGCATGTAGATGCTGCATAAATCTGATATACAAAAAAAATATTGCGATAACATGGCCCAGCAGTTGTGTGTTCACCTTGTTGTAAGGGGTTAGCAGTTAAAATCCATCGGGCCGCCATGTTAATACTATGGGTGAATTAACCGTAAAATACCTGCTGTCTGTTGCGCGCCAGACATTAAAGATCCCATGACATAACCCAAAAAGAATAGGCCCATAGTGCACCACGTCATGGTCCAAATTTTAACATTTACCTACAAAAATACTCTATTTGAATTCCACATATATATGAACGTCTTTTGCACCATACGTAGCCAACCATGCTAATCGCCTTCTCTTGTAAAACAAAGCGCCTTTGGGATATCCTTGCACAATACTAATGCTGGAAATACCAAATGTACTAATGCTTGGATTTGATCAATCCACATTGTAATTGTAAATTGTATCGAACTTGCGCAGTCATGGCGTGCGTCGCGGTGGAGCTGCCGGATCCCCGGGCTGACTTCGCAGCGTGGCTTGGCGCACACGGAGTCAAGGCGCCCTGCTTTGCCGAAGCCGTGGAGCGAGAGTTCGGCATTGGGGACTATGATGACCTCATGGCATGTGCCGAGGACGAGCAGGTAACCCAGGGGAGGCAGGCAATGCTGTGGTTATATCACAGGTGGCTTAAACCTGGATTGAAAAAGCTTGGCCTCGGCAATTAGTTGAGACTTTGTGTATTCAGTGGAGTGAACTAGTGGTGCAGTGGTGAGAACATTGCTATGAACCTCTTGACTTAAGTTCAATTCCTGACCATGACGAACTCTATAGCAAGGCATGTGAAAAGCGAATCAAAAACTAATCTGGATAAGAGGCAATTGAAGGGACCTCAGAAGCAGATTTGTGATCTCTTCCATTTTCTTTATCTCATGACATGATGTTTATGGTACAATTTAAATATAAGTGAAAAAAATAGATTTATTTACAATTAATTTCAATGTTGTCACAATCGCAGATATTCTAATTCTGACCTTCGTTTTGAAACCCTCATCATAACCCGAAGCTGAATCTTGATCCTAAATCTAACCTTGAATCTTACCATAGTCCTTTCACTGACCCTCACCATATGGTTGTGAAAATCGTGGCACTATTGTGTGGTGTTAACTGTGTGGTCCAGACTGGTCGCGAATGTGACTTTGGTGGTTTCTGCGCAAATATATTTAACCATGTCAATGATGCAGAGGTGGTTTTGGTGCACCATGCATAGGTGGGAGATTTGAATAACCTGTTAAACCATAGGAGAAACCTCAATCACCAGGTTTCATTATAAATTAACTGAATATATTCCTAGAAATGTTGGCCTATGCTTGTTAATGTATGTATGTATGTGTGTTCAACTTCTTTAGCCACCGTACGTAGCCAACCGTGTTAATTGGAGGTGCAGGGGATCGGAGGTGCGGTTCCTATACGTTTAGTAACTTAGGATTTAAAAAAAAAAAAAAATTTCTTAACAGCGAACTGGCGGCGTTGTGCTTTGATTTAAATGTTGTATTTACCAGAGAGTCTTTGTTAGAGTTGTCTGTGATTGGACATACAGTAGTTAGTCAGGCCTAGCTTATTCTCTTAATTTCATATACATGAACAGTCCCTTGCCAATCTTGATGGCCTCCCTACGCCGTTTGGGTGATGGGAGCTGTTTCACCGTATTACACCACCCATATGTGCACGTTAGAGACATCATATTGGCTGTTTAGAAAAGTAAGTGGGCTTGCAAGGGACATGATGCTAGAAGAGATGATGACCAGTGTTCTTCACTAACTATGGAGTGGTGACCAAAGAAGAGAACAGGCCTGACAGTATGTTCATCGTTGATATGGAGCGATTGAATCAGCTCGTGTTATGTTGCTGGGTGGGATTTTGCATCGCTAGATAATGGAAGATGGTGGTGGCTTTGTTTACATCATACTATACTTAGTACCTTAATTTCAGCTGAATTAGTCCAGGTCAACAAATATTTACATACCCAGCACACCACCTAATTTATTATTAAATCTATGCCTTCTCCAGTTTACCTAGTCTTGCCTTGTGGTCACGGGCCCTCGTCACAACGCTCACCCTGCTCACCGGCCCTGTTTTGTATTGTTTAAACAGTTGCTGAGCAACGCATCCAGAGGCTTGCAAAAAAAAACATTGCAGTTGTAATCAATGAGTTAACGTGTTTCTTGAAATGAGAAAGGTTATTAAAAAAAGTGAATTCCTAGGGTTAGTAGTGCGAGGGTAGAAGCAGGCAGGGAAGTGTTTAGAAATGTAGTTTAGGAATTAAACGTTGGATGAGATAATACGGTCTGGTAGATGGCATCCTCAACATGACTTTACCGAAAAAAACAAAGAGTAATTCCTCCAGTCACGAAAGCACCAAATCAAGATGGAAGAATCAATTGCACGAAAACATTGACCATGGTAGCAGCGTCAGAAGTCTGATAAGAACGCGAGTGACCGCCAGTCAGTGAGTGACTGGGGTGAATGGATGAGTGCTGGATCTTAAATAAATCTGACAGCTTTACGCTGAATTCTGTCATATACAGTTAGCTAGGAACTAGGTGCTCCACCCCAGATGTGGTATCGCATTAACTCCCTAGCCTGGTATGCAGGAGGTCGTGGGTTCGATCTCGACCCTGACGTGGTCACCTGGATTTTTCTCTGGTCGTCCAGTTTTTCCCTCTACATTTATAATCAACATGCATTTAAATATTTGGCTGCTATAAATGTCCACGTTATAAGCCACTTCGTTGAGCTATAATTTGTGGCCCGGTCGATTCTAAAAAAAGAGCTATATAGCTCAATGGGCCTCACCTGGTAAGATAAAAAATAAAATAAATATGACAGCAGTCACACCGACCTGAACTCTAACCCCAACCTCCCCATCCCGCAGGTCATGCTGGAGCTGTTTGCGATGGCTCGGTGCCGGCTGCCCTTCGCACTCTATGCTGCACTGCGCCGCGTCATCAAGGCATGCGTGCCCGCTCTCCCGCAAGCCCGCGCCGAGCAAGAGGCCGGCGTGGGCCTGAGGGGGCTGCTTGCCATCATCGTGGCCACGCTCAGCAGCCTGAGCCAGGAGCTGCTGCAGTCGGCACACAAGTTCAGTGCCCTCGACCCCACGCTAGGCCAACAGTGGAGCACTGGCGACGGATATAATGGAGACGCGGCCAGCCCAGGTGAGGGGAGGCACTCAATGTGGGGGATTGGGTGCTGGAATAATGGGTGTGTGAGACTGGGATAAAAGCTAAGGTCCTTCAGATGTGCTGGCGTTGTGCCCTGACATTGTCTGCACTTGAAAGAGAGACCCATCCCCAGGGCTTTAAACATGTATCAAAGAGTGGCTGGCTAATGGATTTGATGCAGGAATTATCCACCTCTTGAACCTAGACTTCATAGATGGTTCTGCTGCTGTTGCCCCTCCAATTTTCATTATATATTGCTGCTTGCTGCTGTCAAAGCTTCTGGTACTGTTCATGTTGTTGCTGCTGATTTTCCTGTTGCCACTGCTGCTTTCTATTTGTGCTTCTGTTGATGACACTTCTGCTGCTGTTGATGTTCATACTGTTGCCATTTCCGTCTCCGTGTAGATAGTGATGGGGGTGTGAGGCTGGACGGGTTTGTGTCGCCCATGCCTTACGAGGACAACGCCGTGAGAATCAAGACTGAGGACTGCAAAGGTGTGAGCCCACGGCCCACGATCGATTGTGGGGTTTAGCTCTGCAGCATCTACTGCCTCAATTACATCACAACTCAGAGAAACAAGTGCCTGAACCAGGCTGGGATAGAACCAGAGTTCTATCCCAACCCGAGTTCTATCCGTTCCCGCTGCGGCAGCCCACTTTATCAGTGGCCAAAGATGTGCTCAGCATTTCTCATGTTGAAGCATGCTGGCATCGGCTGATCCTAAGAGCAACTGGCTCATCCAAACTAAAACAAGGACGAAATTTCATGCATATGTGTGGACTCTTTAATGGCTTTCCAACATATGTTGGTCCTTGGAAGTACTTGGCAATAATAACTGCTTTGAGTGTTATCCATCATATGCATAGTGGGTTTTCTGTGGCGACTCCAGTGTCCTCCCTCATAAAAACTTTGCTTAAATGCAAATGGGAGAAAAATACAATGTAGAAGCCTTCTGAAAAAGATTATTCAGACCTATTCAGGCTTTCCTGGATAAATAAAATACGTCATGACACCTTTGCAACGAAGGTTGAAATAGTTTATGCGATAGTTATGTCTGTTCATAATGAGAGGCACTATAATTCTCATAAAGAGGGTTGAATAAAAACAAAACTATAGTATAAAGTTCTGTTGATGTCAGTGACTTGCTGTTAAATGCTGTCTTTATCGCTCAGATGAAGCTGTGGAGGAGGAGGTGGTGGAGGAGGAGGAACTGCATGGGGAAGGGACATTTGCACCCGTGTGGGACCCAGCAGAATTTGGCGCCGCCATCAATGATGACTACACAGGTGATCCTGGAAGCAAGTGCTGCTTGTTAAGATGTTATGTCAATTGTACGTCGGTGCGATAAGCTCACGAACCTATAAATGCGTTGCCTGCCAATGTGTGCCGCTTGCTTAACAGTGGTGTTTTTGCAAATGTGTATACAGGAGATCCTTAAATATCACGGGTTTATCGTTCGCAGTTTCGACCTATCGTGAGCAACCTCTTTGTCTACCAATTTAGCTACTGCGGGGGTTAGTTGTGGCTTTTCACTTATATACTGTACCCGGAGGTACTGTATCATTGGCTGATACCATGGTGCGAGGCAGACGAGGGACGCGACAAGTCGGTGTCACTTCAACCGTTGCCGTACAAGCATCTTGCAGACAAGCCTCGACTGAGGGGAGGCCCAGGTCCAATTTAGATAATTGTCAATGGTGTTAGACATGAGCGGGAATCGAACTCGGGTTGCTGGGTTCGTAGTGCAGTGCGCTAACCATAGCAGTACCACTCCCCACTCGCGCACAAACACACCCTTTAAGTACAGTATTCGGTATTTATACCCCTATTGTCTATTAATGTTTTTTGTACAGGGATGTTACGTATTTCAATTATTTTGTTTTTAGTTTATTTGGCATACAGTACAGTACTTATTTAATTTGAAATGTTGTCTTTTTGGTTGCTGTGTACCTAACCCCCATTATTTAGGTGAGGCTTCGGTATTGAATATCGTAGTTGGCTTTCACGGACTTTCCAAGAACGTAACCCGCTCGATATTCAAGGGTCTCTTGTAGAAATGTCTATCCTGCAACATGCATGTATAACCTATGGATCGCTGGCTGTATCCGCAACACAACTTCATTTGCAATGGCCACCCGACCACATGAGGCTTATCGCTTTGAAACAATCCGCAGAGATCTTGGCCATTCCAATCAGACACGAGAGGGGAACATTTTTGACCTGGCAACCTTAAATTTATCATCTTAGCACACTCGGTCACATCTCTCACTGCACGAGCCTCTTGAAGTCACAGAAGTGACTAAGGTGTCTTAATTCGTGTCTAGCGAAAGGTATTTCAAAGTTCTATTCAGCCCTCGATAAGGAAAAGGTATCTCCAACCATGGTTTAAATAAATAACTACGCCATACTAGAATCGGTTGACGGGCCTCTCTCCCACACTCTGTGCGTCTCTCCCTAAACCCTGCAGTACGCGGGGATGAGGGCGTGGACAGGATGTGCATCACCAAGGAGGATGGCCACGGCAGTGCTGACGATGCTGAAAGAGATGAAGCCTTGCTACTGAGGCCTCCCCCGCCCCTCTCAAGGTCTCCACTACCCATGACTACACTGCCTGGGCCGTCGTCCTCTCTGCCACCGCTTCCACAGCCGCCCCTGACGCGGCCACCCCTGTCAGGCCAGGAGGCCATGCATCAGCAGTACATGTACGTGATCCAGCTCATGAAGAGCTCAGCTGCGGGAGGCGGACTGGACAGTGGCGGTGGTAGTGGTAGCGGAAGCAGTGCGGGCAGCATTCGGCCGTTCGCTCCGTCGGTCAAGGAGGCCTTCGCCAGCCGGTGGTCAGCTCCCGATGGCGGAGCAGCAGCAGGCGGAGGAGGAGAGGAGAGAGAGGTGACGAGAGGGGGTGGCCAGCTCCCGCCAGAGAGGCTGGCGTCACCACTGTTGCTGCCGCCGCCGCTCGGAGCGCCGGGCGTTGTGATCCGCAAGCCCTTCGTGTGCCAGCTGTGCGGCGAGGGCTTCACGCACTCGAGTGGGCTGTCGCGCCACAAGCGCATCCACACCGAGAAGCTTTACAAGTGCCACGAGTGTGGAAAGGAGTTCCTGCTGGCATACACGCTCAAGAGGCATCGGCGCGTGCACATGTGACAGTGGTAGATGGGGGGGATGGGATGGGGTGGCATTGGGTTAGATGTGAAAAGCCTTGATAATGATGGACTGTGTTTTCATTTTGCTGTAGGCATAGGAGGGGATGTGAGAGGAGAAACGAAAGTTGAGTGAAAGGATCTTACTGCACAAAGGAGTAGTAGGTGCTGCTTAGTTCCACTGGTGATATCTATACAGTGGTCAAAATTCTACATTCCTATGGATGGTGCATTTTGCTCGATAGAATGACCGCTAAAGAATTAAAGCTTTCGTGACTGCATAAATTACTCATTGGTTTTTTCGGTAAAGTCACGTATGTAGGAATACCATAACATTATATTTTTTCCTTAGGTGTGTTGAATTCTCGTCTCTCATCTTGTTGTATTTACCTCCGTGATTTGTTTCTTACGCCTGATGAAGATCGCTTGTGTTGCGGTCGAAACGTCGTGATTGATTTGTTTTAATATAATGTTATGGTATTCCTACATACATAACTTTACCGAAAAAACCAATGAGGGTGACCGCTGTTAATGTCCCAGTTAGTAGTACTTGTTTTATTAGCCCTGGAGAGATGATGGGTTGAGTTGGCCCCCAATGGGTGATATGAACTCACAAAAAAAAGAGTATTGTGAATTGAGTGGTGTAACTGCAGTATCACCCAGTGGGGGTTTAGGGTTAAGACGGACAGTGAATCTAACAGTGACCCCAAAAATAAACACAACCTTTGCTTGACACTAAGGTTGTGGATTGATTTCAAACCATACCATAATGTGGTGTAAGTCGATTTGGGATGCTGAAGCATTTAAGCACCCTATGAATACAAATCATTATTGATGCAAATCCTAATCCTTACCATAGCCTTTAACCTAACTTATTCCTGCATTCATTCTGACCTCCACCCAAACCCTGGCCTTATGCCCAAAAGAATATGACCGAGACCCTCTTTACTTTAATCAGTTTGCATTGGTGCTCTATTTTAGGCATTGGTTCTCTGTTTAAAACTCAGAGCCAGTGGTGAAAACTCTGCATTACTATGGTGAGAGTTTTAACTCTGGCATCAAACCTTTACTCTTATCCTGACTCAGATCCTTATCCTAACCTTTTACCTAGTATCCCAGTTATATCTCTGACCCTAACTCTAACCGTAACCCTAGCCCATCAGCTGTGTGCAATGTCAGTCATCTCGTCTTACGTGCCACAAGGATGCGATGGTAGCTGGCGTTGGTGCACACTTTTATTTAACTGTTCGGCAAATACAGGTTTTAGTTTAGTGTATTGCTCCCTGAATCTTGCGCAAGCATTGAAAGTCTTGGCGCTGATGGTGACGTTGTGCAAGGGATGTGATGCCCACCCGCTTATCACTGGTGGTGATGCCTTCATGGGCAGTGCAGTAAATGCCTTTCTGACCTAGTGAGATACTGCCTGTATTAAGGCAGTTCAGCAAGCAGTTTTTCGCAGGCTTCCTTTACAATCGAGTCTTTAGAGTTTTCCTTTCACATGCATTGGAGGTTTTCTCCTGGCTTTCTGTTAAGACTAAAACTATATTTTATTATTCGGAGACTGGATTGCTAGCTTAGTCATTTTTTATACGCACTAGCGAATAGCGGCACAGCTCATACGCACGTGTAATATGTTCAGCGATACGTTCATAGACTCATGCGTGTAAGATTATTTTTGAGAGGGTCCAGAGTATACAGAACAAATTAGATATACGGTCCAGACAAAACATTTAAAAACGTTAAATAATATTAAATCTTGACCATGAATTGTGGCATTTCATAAAATTATGATGGGAGTTAATCTTTACTTGCCTAATAGGTTAGCTCTTGATGATTTGTAAGCAGATTATCCAGGTTACAGATCAACCATGCTCATTCTCACCCTTTATATGTGTGCTGTGTTTAATTATTAACTGCTGCTCACTAGCCAAGGGTCCGTGGCTAAGTGCCTACGTGAACACAAGCGTGTTGGCAAGTGAACAGATTCATTTTATATTTGTTTATGCAGGTAAGAAACATCAAGCTGTTTGACAAGAATGACCAAGACAAGACCTTGTAGAAATTAAGGAATTTAGAGCATATAAATCATAACATTGCAGACTACTGAGTAACAAACACAATCTCGGATAACATTCAAGTAATGCGCCACTCAAGGAACACTGGCAGATAACACAGAAATAAAACACCGAATCGTGTGGGGTTCGCTAACAGCGGCGTGCAAGAAAATGGATAAATGTTAAATCTAGGAAGGAATGTAATAAGGCCAGGGAAGGGAGGGATGTAAAGCGAGTTAATTCCAAAAGTAAGTAATGATTTTTCACTGCAGTTAGATCTCATTCTGGGTATATTAAGGAGAGATAGAGAGGAGCTTGTAAGACAACGTGATGAGAACTGTGGTGAGAGGCGGTCACGGATTGTAATTAGCGGAGTTTTTTGGAGTATTTTGAGGATGAATGGTGCCCAGTAACGCTGCCTCTGAGTGTCAAGGGAAGTTGCCTTTTAAGTACAGGTCGCAGTGGTGTGTTGTGTACGGGGCATCAAACGCAAAATGAAAGACTGAATGGTTTAGGGGGACCAAGAGTCTCTGAGGCAAGTTTGTAGGTGGCATCACAGTAGTCAAAGTTATGGAGAATGGTAGCTTTGACAGTGTCCAATCTGAGATGGAGGAGAATACAATGGATGTATCTGCAGAGGAAACCAATTTGTATTTGTCTTAATTTGTTTTCCCCCCGCACCTCCAATTAGCACGGTTGGCTACGCATGGTGCAAAATAAGTTCTACAAATATACAAATATGTTCTATAAGAACCTGGAAAGAGATTTTGGAATCTAGGATAAGGCCCAGATTTTTTTAAATTGTCAACGATTTCAATTTTCAGGGAGTTCAGAGCCACAACTTGAAGTGGAGAAGGGGGGGCAGGCTTGTGTTGATCCGAAGCCAATATTAATATTGTTTTATTTGCATTGAGGACAAGTCTAATGGCAGGGAATACAAATCCTTTATAAGATTGGAGTAAAAACCGTGCAGAGATTTGTTCAAGACCATGAGAGCTGTGTCATCAACAAATTGGTGTTTTTTTTTATTTCTGAGTGGATTAGAGATTTTAGCTAGGTTGTTGACAGCGAGAACAATGTCGGATCGAATAGTAAACAAAAATAGATATAAATCTCTTCTTCACCCTTATTCTGTATAAATAAGTCACAAATACAGTTATATAGCCTAATTGACATCCGTTTTGCATGCTGTGCGTTTGGCCTTTTTACCCAGAACACACCAGATAATCTAGGGTTGACTGTAGCCGGCTTGGGCATTATAACTTGATTTTTTTTGCAATTTTCCAAAATTTACAGCCAACACTGTTCACGTTTCACTCATACTTCACCTCACTTGAAATGTATTTACTCTTGAGTAGTAATGTTCAGGAATTCATGGGGATAGAAAGCTACCATTGGTCAGAATTGTTACAATGCAGGCAGTTTGATATCCTATTGGTCACTAAACCCTGCGAGGCTATCAATATGTCGTATAGAAGGTAGAACAGAAAGTAGATCGCCCACCAACCTATGAATGTAAATTTAATTGTATGTTCTCGTGTGTGTCTCTTCTCCTTGTACTCGATTACATGGTCATCCCTTTATAGCTATCCCACTGATTTCTATTGGTCATCTTAAGTTCTTCTCAACAGGTGATTGCATATTATGAAAGCGATGGCTCCATGTCATACACAGGCAAGTGTAAAACATGTAATTAATGATTTGAGATTGGTGGGAGACTTAAGATTTGAAATCAATATTTGTTTGCTCTATTTTCCTATTGGTTTAGTGAAATATGTAGATATGCACACACAATTGTACATATGAAATGGATCACCCTGTACTTGTTAAGGAATTGTCCAAAAAGGCCAAGCAGGGCCTTTCTCGAAAAGGAGAATTGAGACTCGGGCTTTCCTGGGCAAATATCTATTCAAAGAATATCTTTACTCAAAGAATAAATTGGGCAGTCCTCTTGTCAGTTGGTGTTTCTTAGCCAATGGTGGAAATTCCACAATTCGATGCTGGGTATGAGTCCTTTTATTCTTTCCATTGATTTCACACAAGTGGAACTGGTATTATCAACCTCATGGCGACAGTGGGAATGATTATGGTGAAACTCACGATATTATCGTAAGTTGAGTGCTCTGCCACTTAACCATCTGGACAGATTGATGATTATGATTATAATAGTGTTAATGTATCAGGAATCAAACTGTTAGCTGGTCCAGTGGTGAAAACGTAATGTTAATGGGCAGCACATCTCATAGGTTTATGACCGAATGAGATAGTTTCCATATTAGAGGTAAGAACACTGTCAAATAGACGAACCTTGGTGAATCTAAGAACGATTCTTTTTCTACAGCGTCTCAAGATGCGGTCACATTTAGACGCCATGTAAATACACTTTTGGGCTTTTTTCATTCAACGGTGAACTTAATTTAAGGATGGGTGTGTTGATATTAAAGCACAGTTGCCTTGCAATACAAATGACCTCATCTTGGCAGTTCCAAAATGGGTAAAACGATTCCACAGAGCGCATTGCTTGGTGCAATTATCGGGCTCGACAGATGCTCATCCCATACGGATTTTCTCCAGGTTTTAAGTCTTCTCTTTTCCTGTGCATGCATGAATGTTGTGCTGTCATTGAGAATTATCTTCATACGTGTGTGCTTTATCCATGTATGCCTGTTTCCCCCAACATGCAATACATTAGTAATTCACTAATACAATATTATTTGCCCAAACATTTGAAACTGAACCCTAGCTAAAAAAATGAGTCTTGAAGTTGTGTTGAGGATTTCCTATACATAGATTCATGTTCATCTCTGTATTAAAGTGGCAGTAATTATAACCAGAACATGCTTAGGTACGTTCGTTCTCCCCCCCCCCCACCTATATAGTATCCACCCAGCAGTATACGTGGATACCTCGTGGTTAGTCGATCGGCAGGTAGTGTTCGGTGGGGTAAAGTATGGATACTGCCTCCTTCGCAGACGATTGGCCAGTGTGGCCGAGTAGGTCAAGTACCTCCTGGAAGGGCTCTCTGGGGCTCCCTCTGGTGGAAGCCCCTTTCACCAGCAGTATGTATGTATGTTGAACTTCTTGCCCACCCATCGTATGTAGCCAACTGTGCTATTAGGAGGAGCGGGAAAAGGATAACAACAGCGCAGTGGTGTTGAGCAAGCCAATTCAGGGCCACACCTATTACCTGACATGTTATGCTCAGTGATTATGCAAAAAAAACACAAGGTTCATATTGGATTGCATTCGTAAAAAAATAGATCGCATAAATATAAATGTGTCGTTAACCCACCACCACCCGACAGCCAATAGTAAGGTTTGTCA